GAGCAGCTTATGCCATTGCTATACGGGGGACAGCAGCAGACCGCCATGAATTACAAACTCCTAGTTAGGTGTAGTAAAAGTCACCTACACATGAGTGCATCAAAATGTCCACGATAACACAGGTGCTATGTCGTACTTATCTACTGTTAGTAGAACTAGTGCATCTCGGACCAGCACTCTCTTCTGCAACGTTTAATTTACTTGCCCCTGAAGCCCTTTAAAGTTTAAACAATGCCCTTTCAACTCTGAATCACGAAGAGTAGGCCAAATTTCCTCACAGACGGTGCCCTTTTGACGATGCATTAATATTACGTCAACTAACAGAGCACCGTCACTTATAACGGTGATACACATTCGTCGTGTTCCTAGATAACAAGGGTGCCTTCAATTCTGTGTGTTCTCTGGAAATATCTTGTTAGTATAGCTATGCCAACAAAATACGCAAAACTTACCAGGGCGCATTACTCACTTAGTTCGGCCAAAATGATGCCAGTGGCAAATTGCGTGGCCCTTCAATGTCTGCAGCGGGGTGAAACAGGATGTCTGTTGCCACCTTTTCTTAAACTTCCTCATTGACGATGTTATGGCAACCGCGGTCAGTGGACACAAATTGGAAACTGTGGAGCTGCATTCAGGTTACAAGCGACAACTTGTTTGGAAACCATGCTAAACTCGTTTCCACTAACAAGCTGGCTAGCAACAAAAGCGTATCAACAAGTTTCAATTCACATAAGATACCCAACAAGCGTAGCTTCAATTCATAAGAAGAACCGACTAGGGGCTTCTACTTACTCCTCCTTTTTACGTGGAAAATTAATGTGTATGGCGGATTAATAGAATGAAAGGCTACCCTATGTAGGCGATGAAAATCTGTGCGTTACCCACGCTGTTATGACATGGCAAGTATTTCAATCGCACATAGGAAGGGAATACAACCATATGCGGCACGAAACAAATGGTTTCCATCTATGTGCCCACCACTCATATAATCTCGCTCTTTTGTCAGGTCAGCATTGCAGTGCCTACAATACAACAATCCAGTTTACACATTAATGTCCAGATGTCGCAATTGAGTTAAATTGAAACATTACAAAGTGCCGAAAACACCTGTCGTTACCATGTGCAGCGATGATGAAGTTTAAACTAGGTTAACTTGTGCGTGTTCGAATGCATGTGAGCTACATTCTCAAAGTGTAAATGAACACGGAATTAAATCAACAACGGATCACTTAATTTGGATTGAGAAAGAGCAAGCAAAGAGTTGATTGGGACAAGGAAAAGAGTTGTGTAAATGGAAGTGGGAAGCACGGTGAGGAGATCATTAAGCGGGACGACAGTAACACAGGAGAGTTTTTCCATGATTCCTCCACAGAGGTGATTGACTATTGGTTTGGATGATGCCAATGACATTTCCCTACTCTGTGTCATCTCACAAACTTGTCAGGCTGAAGTGGATACACCAGCGATGATTGTCAGACATTTTCGAACCGTAATTTACACACTCCAAATGAAAGAATTCCTTATCAGATTGGCGGGGGCCGCTTCATGCACTGGCTCTCGATGGGGATCAGATAATAGTGGTCTGGAAATGCAACTACTTGAACAGCTGTATCATCACCGGTGGAATAGATGATTAGGTCGCGAAATGTGTGGCAAAACTACTGGCGTATTGCTGAGCTTTTCCACCTCTGACGCCGGTGGATATTCAGTCTCGCCCTGAAGTGTACGATCCACATTGTGGCCGTGTCTTTAGCTTTAATGAAAGGTTGTGAAACGTGGTCTATCAGATTGACAGATATAAAACGGCTGATTGAGTTCTACCACAGGTGTTTTTGCAACTTGGCTCATGTCTGAAGGGAACACCGCGTGAGCACTGAGCGCGTTCGACGCCCTGTTTGTAGTGCAGGAAGAGGAATTGAACGATTCGGCACCATTAATTTGTACCTGAGGCTCTGATGGCTGAGTTATTTGGAACGCATGCCAACACACCGAATCTCGCTATGTGCGTTGTTTGCGCGAACGGTGTTTGGATAGAAGAAGAAGAAGAGGGTTGGCTAACTGATGACTTAGTCACGAGGAAGAAAGCCTTCACTGCGAATTTGGCCTGTTTTCGCTAGTCGATTTTCTAGTTGGTGTCTAAAGGCGATGAACACATTTTGTTGGTGACAGTCGTTTACATGACGAATAACGACATCAATGTGTTGTGTATATTTATCCCGGGACATCCCTCCCACCTTCCTGTTTTAAGCACGCCCGTCTTGCTAAAATATCTCTGTAACTTGATCACTTCATGGAGGAGAACAAAGTGGTCAACCTACAAAGTTATTGATCCACAAGTTTTGCAAGTTGGACATTAAGCATGGAATGAACTAGTCAACCCATAGAGTTTGTTAGGATATATTGGGGGTACACTTCTGAAGTTGTACTGCATTTGCAATTTTTAAACTTTTTGTGCTTGTTGTACTGCTGTCGTATTGCTTCACAATACCTGTGGTATTCCCATTTGTAGTTAAGTTGTGGAATGTTACTAATACTCTTACCTAATACTCTTATCTCTCTCTCTTATCTCTAATACTCTTACCTTTACATCTTGTGGATGCCTCAATTTTTTACATGTCTTGCTACTTACCGAAAATCCTCTGTGAGCATTAACAATCACTGACCGACTAGATCAGCTTCGTACTAAGTATGATTGTTCTAATCGACTTTTATTGAGGTAAATCTGCAACCGAAGCACTTAACCTATTCTGGGAACATTTGGACCCATGGTTTTACCGTGATTAGTTACTTTGTAGGAGGGGAAGTATTCGGGTGGGCTATCGACGTTGTGATGGATTCAGAGAAACACTATTACTATCGTGATGGTCAAATGTAATGAATTTTCCGCATATCTGTAACGTTTATTCAATTTTTACTCTGCGTTACAGGGGCTCGCTGTTGAATAGTGAAATCGAACAGCTGATGATTAAGAAACCGGATTATTCCACAACATCATGTTATACTTGAATATGTTCCAGGATATATCGCTTAATGGTTGGAATACTAACTTCACACCTAGCATGGATTGCACTGTTTTTGATTACCACTGCAATAAAACCAAAACTCATACAACTGTTGTGCACAAAACTGTTCAAGTCGCTACCGCAAACTCTGTTCAACTACAAACCAACCATTCGACGCGCTCTAGCTGACCTGCGAGATGCAGGCCACTCTGATGGTTTAAATAGCCTGAGTACATCTACTAAGTTATTGTGGCATCATCATTGATCCGCTTTACGATATGGTAGTTTTGCGTATAGATAGTCGTCCAAACAGAAGCCCCTGAACGGGTATTCCATTGCTCTTACGCATTTCGTTCGAGTATTGCGACCATACATGAAGTAGCTTGCTTTAAAAGCCGGTTTCTAGCCTTGAGTTACTTATACATTCTGCCGCGGTAAGATTCCGTCTTTTATAGAAATGTAACCCGTCTCAAGTGTTTACCTCTGTTCATGACCTCCGTCAGCTTAGTAACTAAAATTAAAAGGCCGCTAAAGCGGCGTTTAATCCATCACAATCTGTCTACAAACGCTAACTGGGGAACCTTTGCAAAATATGCAATGGTTTAGACTTAGGCGGCACCGAGTACAGGCCAAAATGGACTTGTCACTGTGATTGTTGCACCGACGCTGAAATAGAAAAACCATATGATTGTGTAGCTTATACCGTCCCCATTGCAAAATGCCACTTGTTCCTTACGCTTGATAACGTTGGTATTGCCTGTTAGTGCTTCTAATCTTACGAAAAGCAGAGCACGCCACAGCCGACTTCTCGACAGCTGTGAGCGGCAATTATTCTAATAGACAAATCAACTTTAACATCGAAGGCTGGCTTAATGAAGCAACCAATTAGACGTCCAGGAGACCTAGCAAAACAGCTGAAACTGTTTAAGTAATAGTCGAAAAGCACCCTGGAATTTTTAGAAAGATGGCATTCTCAACTGTGCTGCCTATGTGCCGCACGTTTTGGTGTTTTTCTAGACCAGATGCCATCCGACGACCAATCCATCCAGATGCATTTATCGTAGAGGATGTAGCGCAGTTTTAAACCACAGTTGTGATGCCAATGCGAACAACGGCGACAGTTTATCCCGATGAGATCCAAGAAGTTATTGTCGCGGAGCTACAACTCTTTGAACGAGGACTAACCGTCGGTCCTATCTGCGCACCAGGCATGTTCACAACAACTCCAGTGGGGTCTCAGTTTCTGTTGGACAAAGCGTTTTTCACAAAGGTGAACAGAGCATTTTCAAGAAAGCGGTTGTTTTCGCCCTTGCAAACTACATTTGCCGTCTGCGAAAGCTCAAGCAAGGGAAAATTTACGCGTATCACGTAATTTATTAGCCATATAAAATAGTAGGTTGCAGCGACAACCTTCGTTACCGGCGGAAATAAAGTCTTTATTTAAGATAAGATGTAAATGTTTGGGTACTGGTTGCAAAATCAAGTATTGGCCAATAATATACGTAAGTTCAGAAGCCTAGGCTCGAATTATACGCCCTGTCTAGGGGCACGCCTCGTTTCGGTCACCCTTGACTCTACTCTTAAAAATAGCATGTTCTGTAAGCCACATGGTCCAAATTCAGCTGCACTGTGACATACAATGCAATCACATTTCGTCATGGAGCTAAAAAACGCAGTTATATTGCCGGTTGATAGGGTACAAGAGTAATAATTCTGTCACATAACACAGAGGTTGATGCTTTATCTTTTCTATTGTCAAATGGTGCGTTTTTCTTTTAATCCATGACCCAAGATAACAGGAAAACAAAATAGTCCGTCGTGTCACCGGTAACCGCAAAGTGCGGTTCACATCCAGTTACCAAGCTCAGCTGATCACTTCAACGTTAATTTTAAGCACGGCATAATGCTGTGATTCATCCCCATTGCACTGATTACAATAAAATCTGTCTCAAATTGGATCGAAACTCTCAGCCCATTTGTTTATCCCTTTCCGTGCAGAATGGACGCACCCTTCCTACAATGACCATGAGGGAGTTTGTCATTTGTCTCCGGGTAAGTAACATTTAGCATAAACTTCTTAAATCTTCTCTCATGTAAGTGACGACATAATACAAACGTGATATCTGTAGTCAGTTACGTAATAGAGAAATAGAACAGACTAACGCAGTTGTTAGCTAATAACTTGGACAACCATCTTCCGGGACTTCATGCTTAGCCTTTGCTGGATAACACGCCTGTGAACTCTGGGTTCTCCCGCTGAGCATATGATATTGTATACTTGATCATACATGCAAGCGCAATCTTATCGCATACGAAATGGTAACCGAAAGGTAACAATAAGCAGTATATGAAGTCAAATCGGCTACAGGCCATGAGCAATGGTGCACACATGGCGTACCAATTAGGGGTTATTTGAAAGAGTTAGGACGTCTTTATCCTTTTTGCGTTATAACGTGTTAACAATAGCTAAATGACAAGTTAGTGCAGACGGTAACGTAACACGAAAACACTCCTGTCCATGGGCAGTAGCAACTTGGAAAATTACTTGCGTGTGCATGTAATGTGTGCAGGATGATGTGAGCAAGTTAACTCGCCAGTGGTTAAATTTTGCTAACATCAGGCGGTTTCTATTGCAAATGCGGTCATAGTGTACATCCCATCTAAGGGATCTTACAACGAAATAGACGTGCTACTGCTGGCTAATTATAGACGTGAAAGCCTGTGCTCTGTTGTGTAAACGCTTGTTAAATACAGAGCAGGCATTCTCAAAAGACCACCATTATCACATTCAAGTTTCATTTCAACTTTTCGCCATCTAGGGATAACAAAATACACTTAGTAACCAGCGTTCTCATGCGAAGTATGCCTACAGGAGATAATGTTATGTGACTGTAATTTTAGGCTCTTTAGCGCCGAGTCTGCTCAGGGGTAACTAGTTAATTCTACCTATATAGTACTGACTACAAATTTTCAATTTCTATCAAAAGTTGGATGCACAATTATCCGTTGTCAAATGCAATGAATTCGCTCATTTCTACCTTTACAGGACCTTCAGCTTACTGATGATGCTCTTTCAATAAGCGACATCGTCAGTATATTGTGTGCAAAGAATCCATTGGCTGGACCCTACAAAGAATGCAATATAGATTACGAAGTGAGTGAGGTGGAATGAATGAATATGGGGGAATAGAGAAGTTCAGGGGGCTTCGTTGTAGCTTGTCTGCCTAGTTCAATGGCGCATAGGGGATTTCAGCGCCGGCTTCTATGGAACTGCGAAGTACCAGTTCTGAAGTCTACATGCGATGGAGTGTCAGTGTCGATAAACGAATAAAGTCAAAATCAGCGGGCTATACTTTTCTGAGGTAGGACAGAATACAAACGAGTGAGGCCAGTGCAAGTGAACGGATGCATGCCAACTCAACCAGCAGAGACACGAAGAACACCTGCAGATAAATATGAGCGTAGAGCCGAAAACAGTGGAACAAGTAAAAGTTAGGTGCGCTTGAGACTTTGGAGTATAATGTGACATATAAACGCGGACCGTATATGATAATCATGCATGTCTAGTGAAGCCGCATCGACATGGAGGGGCATCTAAGTCATTTGTACTAAATAACCCGGAGATGATGCCACTTCGGGCAACGACCACGCCAATGTGGGTATAACACTGCCCCGGACTGAAACTGTTCTCGTTGATTGGATCCCAATCAGTGACCGGATGTGTCATCCACTTGGGTGGCTCATTCAGAGCTTTGAAGTAGCGCCGGCCTGATGAGTGTCTGTTTGTCATTGCAACCTACGCGCGCGCAAAGTTTGGCGCTGTTTCAGTGAAAGACAGCTTCTATAGCCAACGGAACTGGCTCTTTCGCCATAGAAGAAGAACGCATATTGTAGTGCTGGCTGAGGACTTGAACGCTTAAGCTGGAATAGTGTCCACTGATGAGCTGCATCTGGGCGGCTAACACGGTACAGGATCCTGTAGTGATAACGATTAGCGGTTACTTCATTCCTGTGAAGATTCTCGCCTTTTTCCTGCGGGTACTATCTTCCGAAACAGCACGCACCGGAGCGTGACATGGCGTCGGGAGCCTCGGACCAGCCATGGACGCAAATCGCTCGCATCGCGATCAGTTGCCGCTGAAGAGGTTGCTTCCAAAACTGCCGCTTGATTTGGAGCACAAATGGACACTGACCATGCAATTGTATGTGTTGATCTGTAGGTGCGTTTTTGGAGGACGACACCGACGACGCTGTGAGCACCTAGACACTCGCAAATTGGCGAGGCTAGATGTTCTGATTGCGCATTGAAATACGCCAGCATTCAGGTTGGCCAAGCGCTCACTGAATACAGATGAAAGTCACTGGTTGCATAGGAACCAGACCTTAAAAGAAGCACGCAAATTATCATGTGGTAACTCTGATAGCCTACGTAAACATTGGGTCTCTAGGCAGTCTCTGGAACTTATCTCCACTCGTCGACACATTCCAACTAGAAAAGAACACCAAGTGACTCGCAAAGACCTCAGGACAAGACCATGTGTTAGTCTGAAGTGAGACAGCGGATCCTGGTGGTCTCATCAAGCATCGAAAATGGAAATGCTCACCGCCCTTGGTAACCATCGGAAGTTATCCCGTCTGATACGAGAAACGGACAGCAGGAGACATGGTGTTAGTGAAAATAGTTGTGGCGAGAGTGGACAGCCTATCCTTAACTTATAAAAACTATTGGATCCTTGGGTTGAGAACTTTGAAAGGCAATGTAAGCGGATGAAATTGTGAAATTGTTAACCTAGGCCTGTCCCATTAGGTCCGGCGCCTCGTTCTAAAGTAGAACGGGAGTTTGGATGGCCGAAATTAAACAAGGCTGCTGGAGCAGATGATATTTCTCCAGCCTTCTTCAAACTAAGGGGACCAGCTCTTGTGAATGAATTATTTGAGTTATTAGTGAAACTGACTGGAGCGGCTCTGTTATTGTTTCTCTCCGTTAGTGTTCCGCTGTACAAGAGAGGATCACGTTCGGAATGCCGCAACCATTAAGAAAGTAGTCTGATCTTCGTCGCCCCCGAGTTACCTGCCTCGCTCACCCTTTACAGAATGATTGGCACCCGTGAAACCATATGCGTGAAGAGAAAGCCGGCTTTTGTTGAGGTCGCGGCTGTATCGATCACAGCTTCACTTTACGTCAATAGTTGGAGTACCGTCTCATATATTGGCGGCCCATTTTTGTCATGGTCCTCGACATCAAAGGTGCCTTCGATTCAGTTGATCATTGTGCGCCTTGGGACTGTCTACTCAGGAAATATGTACCCGAGAAATATGTAAATATTATTCGAGCGCGTTATGCGGATAGCTCGGGCAGATTGGGAGCTTACGGTAAGCTGCCGCCACCCTTCAATATATTCAGCAGTGTATGAGAAGCTTATCCACCGGCATCTTTCCTCTTCAACTTTGCTTTTGACGAAGTCCCGGAAATCGCGTTTACTGGACACGACTTAAAAAGTGTGGAATTGCTCCCATGTGCACGAGCTTTTGACTTGAAGTATGCTGATGACATTGTCTTCTTCTGTGACAGCCTATGAACGTGCCAAGCGGCACTGGACAGGTTAGCACTGATTGTCATCGATTTCGGGCTTTGCTTTGCACCATCAAAGAGCAGAGCTTTCCTCTAAGGTTGGCAGTGATCGCCTCCTATGCTGTCCCTTGGTGGGGGTCAACCACAAGTGTTTAGAAATTGTACTAACTTGGCGGTTCTATCAGCGCCTGTGGAATCGAAGAAGTGCTCACGAACGGTATAGCAAAAGCATGAGGTGTTTTGGCTAACCTTCGCCACTTATGGCGCAGGCGTGACATCACTTGCTCCTTGGAGGGTAGAGTGTACAATGCAGCCGCACGTTCGACCCTACTCTACGGTTGTGAAACCTGGCCCATTAGGTTGGCAAACACAAAGTGGCTGGTTACGTTCGACAAATGATGCCTTCGCGATTTAGCTTATAGCTGGTGGAAACTGCGTGTGAGCAATGATCATGTTCAGCGCCTTGTTTTTGACACAGGAAGAGGAAGCGAACCACCCAAAACCGTTATTTCACGAACCGGACTCCGATGGCTTGGCCACGTGTTGCACATGTCAAAACACCGATTTCCGCGTCGTGCGTTGTTTACGCGCTTTGAGTGTGGTTGGAAAAAAAATGGAGAGGGCCAAACAAAAATGAAGGCCCCCAGTTCAAATCTGGTCGCGTTTGTTGCCTCTCGGCTCCCTGGTTGGCTGGATACACCTATTGTCATGGCAAGGATCAGACCTTATTTGCGTTTGTTTTGTAGGTTCCATTGTTCCTCCCCTCCCGTTTGGCATCCCCCTCCCAACAAGATCTCATTTTGGGCACCCAATACCACCCTTTTACGGTAAATAGACGGCTGTTAGCTACCAGTGACTCAGCTGGCGTGCCACCGTTGTGTCTATTTTTCCTTTATCCTATATTGCAGTAGAGTAGCTGAAGTGTTTCTCACTTCTAGCTAACGTGTATAATGTATGAATGACAGACGACAGCGGAAATCGCTCGACAAAATTTGAGCAGCTGGAGAGGTCGTGCAGAGATCCACTGGTCGACAGGGCTACTGGTGGAACTATGGACTAGGATTGCAGGGTTGTGCATGGCATTGCGGACTTGTGCCCAATGCGCTTCAGCATCTGAGCATAAGGCGCTCTTTAACTTTAGAATCAACGCATTGTAAAAGACACCAAGAACGCTTGGAACAGAAGATTTATCCAATTTAAGCCCTTCCCGGTGACACTGTAGAGAGCTACCAAAATGTAGTGCAACTTCGGAACTCACCAGCGCGTAATCCAAATTGAGGTAGTACTCCAGCTTCATTTGCCTTCCTTTATACAGCTCTGCCAGCCATATCTGATGGCAATGTGGTCACTTTCCGTCAGTTGACCAGGTGATGGTGGTCTCCTGGAGGTGCTTTGGAACCAAAATCGCCGAAATATAGCACTGTACACTAAGAGGCTGTGCTCGGCGAAAAGCTTGATCGGATGAATACGAGTACTGCGGCCATGTTGACCACCGAGTTCACGTTTGTCAACCTTAAATCTGCCAACCTGAAGTTTAGGTCCCCGACGATACCAGTAAAATCCTGCGGCGCTTTTTCGGAGAACGTCGGAGAGTCCAGGTTTCAGGAAATAATACACACTTAGTGAAAGTGGATGAAAAAGTGTTACGAAATTGACCAGGGAAAATTGGAACAAACTCACCAAAAAGACGCTTGTAATTCCAATTTGGAGCTTCAATGTACTGGGGAATGCTTTGGGACGGCGTCAACATTGCGGGGACGAAATCGATTGTGGCCTGGCGATGATTCTTGTCGGGGCCACCAGCGCAGCGAAAGTGACCGGCTCACGCTTACAGACTATTGGCGAGCACCGTTCCCACTGATGGAAAAGAAGCCGCGGAAGTGACGGGACGAAAGCGTACTTTGGTACCCGCTGTTCCCTTGTATCTAGCTAGAAATACGACACCGAACGACGCAGTTAGCTAGGGAAGGATGTGAGGGACCGCGCGATGGAGTGGTGTGTTGAATCCAACCGTGGTGCCGTGTGTGTATATCGCGTGTGTGTTGGATCAGACAAGCAAACGTAACGTACATATCAGCATACTACAAAAACCTTTAAGTGTACAATAAGGTAATTTTATTTAGTATTTTACACAACATACTCAGGTAATCCGGGGAATCACCAGACTGCTACAACAAGCATGCGGCGAAAACGTGAGGAGTGAATGACAGAACTGTATTGAGTTGAGAGTAGTTACAAACCGTTTTCAGCGAAAAACGAGTCACAAGAAATACAAAGCTCATTTTCACAGCATTTTCATGTAAATTGTCTGTCCAGTACCATTCGCAACGATGCAGTTCCAACAATAAGTTTCTGTCTTACCTCTAATTATACAACAATCCGCAAACGCTATCCAATCAGCGGAGATTAACACGACTAATATCTGTGGCTTTCGATTCGCATCGGATCGGCTGCTCCTTAGGTCCCGCTGGCCAGCTTGCTCCGTCAGATGCAATACTGTCCTCAAAAATATTAGAAATAACTATTATTTTAATGTACTCCATAACTGGACAAACGTCTCAACTCCAAGGAAGTAAATCATTCCTTTCCGCGATAAATGAAATCAGGTATACCCAAACCGGATGACTTCCCACTGTTTTCTACGTCAAATTCAAGCGTCCATTTGGTAGACCGATGCGCACATAGGCGGTAAGGAGGAGACTTTCCTCAACTAAGAACTGTAGTCGAATTACCCAAGGTATAATGTATCCCATTGAAAGAAGTAACATTGCCGACCTCATTGATTCATTACCAATGAGAGGATGCTTATAGCCTCCAAGTAAATTTTTAAGCACAAATGTTTTTCGCATTTTCTTCCTTGCCAGCTAACATTCTTCGATTTCTTCGAAGCACTTATTCATTGTGCTTTGGCATTCATACGCAATGAGGTGGCGACCTATGAGGAAGTAACCAAAGCTGTCTTTGAAGACACTAACAAAGGAGGTGGGGATGATCCAATTCATAGTGAACAGCCACCTGAGAAACGCAAAGGTAAAAAACAATTTCAAAAGGTTTATGCTTTAATGCAAACTTAAAATACTGTTACTGCAGTTTTCGGTCAAAACTAGTCGCAAATGGGTTCCCAAGCCTAGCCACTCGTAAAAAGGAAATATGGAAATAGATCAAACGCTGCTCAGGTTTATCAAACTCTGGCCGTTCCGACTTGTGTTGAATGTGACAGATCAAAAGAAAGGCCTATAATCCCAACTCGCGGAATATAGATAAAACCGGTCAAAGTTATCCGTTCAGAGTTTGGTTAAACCGACTGTCTTCAAATTTCGCTGCTTTCATGCTAGACCGAGATTTCGGTGTACGGAACAACACAGCTCTGGGCTACTGATGTTTGCCAAACATTAACTTCTCTCAAGCTGCGCGACATCTTTTTTGGGCTGTTCAGGTAGATTAGACTCCTTTTCCGCTATAAATGCACCTCATTGAAAAGAAATCCGCAAAGTCATCGGTACCCTTTCTTCGGAGCCATGGTATCATAGCAGGTGCTGATATTTGTCTGGTAGCGATTCTCACACTTACATACGTGGACGTTCCCGAGATCAGTTGGGGATAAATGACAAAGAAGTATCGGTAAGTTAAACTATTCCGATAGGAACATTTAATGCGAGGATGTAGCACGGTGTATCGACAGATAGCTATTGAATGAGCCAAAGAAGCACTAATCCGAAAGCGAAAGTTTAACACCTTCAAGTACTTAAGTTATAATTGCCCATGAATGCAATCAAAGGATGCACTGATATACACACATACACACAAATGCGTTGGCATGACGAAATGGTCAACCAAGTAACTATTTCTCAGTAAGGAGTGGCATAGGATTAGGCTTCTGAAAAACAATCCTATGTACAACTTTGAACAATGAATATTTATTTATCACGGAAGAAAGCAGGTGCCCAGCAAGTCCCGTAGGACGGCTGGGGTGAAAACTGCAATATATGTGCTGTCTGTATAAGCGTCTATCAAACAAATGCGCTGTTGAATAACGGTAGTGTGAAATGATGCTTTAATGCAAGGATGCAAAATAATATAGGGAGCAGTTATGACTGAAGTATTCCGTGAGAAATATAAACACAACTATGCGCGCTCTTGTACCTAACGCTTACTTCCGTGTGACATATTAATCCGGTATGAGGGCATGATTAAAATATTCCAAAGTAGCACAGCTTAGGTAACAGTGATGGGAGCCATGGTCAACATCCCTTATTTTCTTTAAAAGATTTAAATTAGAAAGGAAACAACTGAGTTTGGGAGAGTTCCAGGTTTAGCAAACCCGAAAAGAACAATCATTCCGCTCGCATTCCAAACGGCTATATTGTTCACTCAGTTTCAAACAGTTACCTTTGAGATTGGTGTTATGGCTGAGTTTCAGTAAGGGCCGGCATAGGTGATTAGGGTCACTCGGTACTTGGCACACTAATATGAGGTCACCGCCGGCCTTCGGTAGTGTCCGCCGAAAACTCCTAGTGACTTCAACTTTGCTGGTGGAACAAATTGAGTAGACCCTTGACTTTCTTCTTAGCACTTCGTTATGATTAGCATTTCTAGGTTGTCAAGCTTGGAGGGCGTATTCAACATGAGGAAGCACTTAAGTATCATGCACTGCCGGGAAGATGGATAGGTCAAAACTCCGGAATGCCTTTTGTAGCAACCCGACATATTTGTTGCCTCTTTTCGTAGCTGTCTCTCTGTTGAAGTTAAGGTTCCTTTGAATGAACACATTAAGTCCCAGTTCCTGGGAATTTGTTTGCAAAACGCGTAACCCAAAGAAATACACGTAGTAATGCCTATGGCTTAACTGAACAATGCGACATTTGGCGATACTGAATGATATGGTATTTTAAACTGACCAGTTTACAATCGTGTTGAGATCGAGTTGGAACCCTTCGTGGTCCTCCAGTTCCTTCGTCGCTCGTCATATCTTGATATCAGCTACAAAGAATTGGAAATTGGAAGCAATTACCCTGGCTAGATCGTTTATGAAAAATAAGAATAGATGAGGCCATAAAAGCGAGAATTGGGATACACCGCATTCCACAATAAATTGCACCGCAAAGGAATTGTCGTACTCTCACCCCCAACCAACCTTTATGCAGGAAAGTGCCTGTCCAACGTAGCAGTTTGTCAACGGTGCCATAGCTCGGAAGCAATCAAAGGCGTTTGAGATATCCAGGTAGATGAGATGAACGCCTGCTCCACCATCAACTGCATCAGTCCAGCTGTTGCACACAAATAGCAGGTTCTTAGTGCATGAGCGGTTCTGGCAGAAGCCATTCTTCTCCGGGGCTATTAAACTGGTTTTCCAGAAACTGAATCAGTGCGTTTACGATGCTTGATTCCATAAATTTGAAAAGTACAGGAAACAGTTTTATCGGACGGTAAGCGGTAGGGTTAGTGCAACCAGCTCCTTTTGATTTAGAGTGGTGACTCCTCGTTTCCATACAAGGGGAATTTGGTTATTCTCAAGAGAGGGCTGATAGAAAATAGCCGGATGTCCCGCCTGATCACTGGCTGCTACCAGTGAAACTTTCGACCGAAGGTTCTCGACACTAGGAGAGCTGTACATACGCATGAACAAAAGCTTCTTCATCCCAGCTTTTGTAGTAAGTGTGACATTGGATTAAACCGACGGTGGGATAATAGAAACATGGATGAGCATTGGGCCCGTTGCCCTGCGGAACGTATCTGAATAATGGAACCGTAAGAGATTGGCTGCTTCCGTTGGTGATCGTGTGTACCAGTCAGTCGGGATCATTTCTAGGTTTCTGCGCAGCACCTTACGAAGGACATTCACATGCATGTTTAAGAGTTTCGGTTCGTGCAGACTCGCTTCATTAACTCCTATTAATGCGTCACAGAAGTTACGTTGTGCCCTGTATGCAGTCCATGACTGGGCATTCTGTCAGTCCCTGTGAGCGCGCCATGACAATGCCCTCAACGACATACAGTTACGTGTTCTGCTCCTCAAAAATGACGCTTTTGATTTGACGATGGAAAAATTGCTGAACCGAAGCATACGGTACCAGTGTGCTAACCCTCATTGTGAACCATCCTTAGGCGACTTCTGGGGGTATTCTGTTAAAATATCCAAGATTTCTCCTTAAGAAATACGAACAACGCGGTGCAGTGCTTGATAGTATATACTTTAGCACCTTCTTCAGAATACGCCGCATCTAGTCAAACAATGGTGCACCATGGTCAACGCGACCTAATTGTGTGCGTTTAACTATTCTGTTGACTATGAGTTCTTCGTTCGTGAGCACATGAGTAACTATCGACAGTCAGGTAACATATCAAAGTCTGATAGGATAAGTAGCGGGGTTATACATAGGCTAATTGAAGGTTAGCTTTAGTGAACAAGCATTAAACTGCTTGTTATATGTTGCCAGTATTTCTAGGTCGCGCAGGTTACATGCCCTTATGATAATAATGTAGCTGTATGACTTGTCTAGCGCAACTTTCAAATCTTGGTTCAGTTTGCAGCCCTGTTCAGACTTACAGTTTGGCGGACGGTAAATTATGGATACAAGGTATGTACCCTTGTGCAGCAACCATAGCCAACACCAAAGCAACTCAGGGGCACAGTTTTCTGGGTGATCAATAAGTTCATATCGGTGCTTAGGTTTGTAAGAAAGAACTTAACCGCCACCTCTTTTATTTCTGTCTTTTCAAGACAACGGCTTGGCATGTAACTTGATCTCAGCATCAGCTATCTCAAGGTTCAACCAGTTCTCCGCGATTATAATGAGATCCTGCAGGTGAAAGTTCTGGTCTTCTTCAAGTTTCATCAACTTACTGTAGAGGCCTTGGGTGTTCATATACAAGCAAGATTGTGCTTTGGATGTTAGAAGTATGTTGGTGGACCTCAAATCCGTATTTAGTTTTAAGCAGACCGTTTGGCGGTCGGCCGCTAATCGTTTTTCGAACGGATCGTTGTCTCATGAATAGCGGAATATCACATGATTACAGAAAGCGCTCCAGATTACATTGGTCTCTCTAACTTGATCTCTCTAACTTGTCGGGTGCCACAAGTGTTATTGTGTATATCACACCGCAGGACTGTGTACCCTTAGATTTTACAGAGGCTGCATGTTTCAGTTAATTGCTGATCATTCTTGGCCGGGCGCCACTATCTTAAGCCGAATTTCGGTTGGTAACCTGGAGCAAAACTTCAACCACTTCTACAGTAGGACTCTTGCCATTTCTTCTGCGTGTAGCACAAGTTTCAACATCCTTAGACCGCGGTCATTATAGATTGGAGAGAAAGCAATTTGCGTCAAAGAGCTCCTTGTACGTCGTCCAGAGAAAGTGTTGTGCGAATGTACCACCACTGCCCTGGGTCATGTGTCTACGGTTCGTGATCAGTAGAACACGGCAATACAGGAAAACTATGAACAAATATGGTCGCTTTGCTTTCGGTTGTATGAGGGCCGCCATGGCTTTCCTTTTTCTTTTGACCGCCCTTTCAAAGCAGCAACGGCCAGTCTGTCTGCCCCGCTCGACGAGTTGCAATGAGTAGGAAGGCCACTGACTCCGCTGCTGAGTTCAATGTTATATAAACCAATCGAAGTTCGTCGTGGCGCGTTACGCGCTTTAGCATGGTGGGCTCAAAGCGAATACCCATTTTGTTGCAGATGGAATTCCACTGGTTACAATCTTCTAATAACTTGCTATTTATAGTGCCATAGTTGGACTAAGGAAGTTAGTGCACACGAGAGTTAACGCACTGCGGTTCTGCCTAGGGAATGTCGGTTTGAGAGTTTTGGCTAGCGGCTTGGCTTTTTTTGTCAGGCATTGGGGACTGTCGTGAAGGCGGCGTCTCATTGCTCCTGTTTGCTACAGAAGTTGGGCATACAGGTGTCGCTTCCGGTGGTTTTATCGAGGCAACCGATGAGTACGCTGCTTTGCTCTGATCTGCCGGCGTAGTGAACGGCTCGGTAGGGGTAGCTTTCCAGCATTGATTAAAAGTAGTCCGGCCGATTGTGACTTGCTTACTTAGGGGGTTAGTATATGTCAGAGTAGGTGGCGCAGATGCCGGTTGGCGGTTGGCAAGACTGAGGTTAGTCTCTGACTTAGGGACAGAGCTCAGAGGGAGTTGATGTGGAACAAGCTCGACCTTGGTAGCTTCCACTGTCAAAGCCCTGAAACACGCCAAAATCTAGACTGTTTCAGTCAAGTTTTTGCATGTTTGCATGAGCACCAATATACAACTGACAAATCAACCGGCTCTGTAAAACCAGAGCGCACCAGTCAGATTTATTATTCACTCTAATTCTAGTTGATTTAGACCACCGTTCTAAGGGTGGAACGCAAAAGCGTAGTCTGAACTTGTCAGCCTTCTCTTGACGACTAGTGCATCTTTCGGCTCACCACATTTAACACTAAGTCTAATCATGTTCAGTGACGGCGGTTGTTACAAGCAAAGGTTGCACCTGGCTGGTCACGTGCGATAGAGGGAGGAACGATGCGACGTTCATCACAGCCGCACGGTGGTCGTCCGTTAGCGTAGGCTGATATCTCACGAGAAGCACATACGTATACGCGGTTTCCACCATATGGATCGTGTTGAGTTAAGGCTTTTAACTCTCCTCGTGAGTGCAGATGTCAGAGACTAAGTGTCCGAGATTGGCGAATACAGTCGAAAGCCACAAATTTGGTCGTACCTTCCTTAGAGATGATACTGTAGGAGGAATTCTAGCATCACCACATTGCACTGAGAAGGCTTTATCCATCGCAGTTTCGCAGCAGCGAGAGTTTAAAAAATAACAGTGCTCTATGGATGGATTTGAACATAAGGGGTGCTAACACAGCTTAGGTTAAACAATTCCGTAAAATGTGACAACTGAATACGAGAAGTTATTCCAAATCGACTGAGTGTATGATGACTGCGCTATGTGAAGTGAGCGAAGAGCAAATCTGTGACGGAGTAGAGCACATTAACTCTGCAACCGCGAAGCGACACACAAGCATCGAATGCACAGGTGCATAATGAAATGCCAAGTCACTTGGCAAATGTTGCTTCAGATAATACAGTAAATAAGTTATACCGCGTTTAGTAAGGGGCCGGATGCAGTGAAATGCAACCACTTAGTAAGCCCAATTCAACTGTGAGATATTTGCAAAATTATCTACGTAATGGACAACAGCGGGCACTTGAGTTTGTTCGGATAGTCTAATTTGAGTTGACTATGAGGGGTTGCTGTAGCACAACGCACTGCTGTTTCTATAATTCTGTGTTGGGTATGCCATTTAGTAAATGATAATATGAACTATATTTGAGGAGGTTTAACTGCTACGACCAAAACTGACTAATGCCTATTACACTGGGTCCAGCAGTTTTTATTGTAATCCTACTGACATTCTACATGAGTATATTAGGCCCATCTTACTCAGTAGTCCTCACACAATCAAAATTAGTTCTAGGCATCTCATTGCTTTGTAACAGAACCAACACATTAACAGTACCTAATCAGATTTGTCATCTAAACATATATAGAACCAACGCATCCTTCGTCACCAGTAACAACTTCTTATCCAACCCTGGAACCGTTGTCCCAAAAGAAACGTCCTTCAACTTCGGCAGCAGAGCCATCGGATAGATCGAATGGGACCTATAACAAAACAGCCTCTAAAAAAGGAAAAAAAGTGAAAAGAACGAAATCGATTGAAAGCTCTGCAAATGCGTCTTATGTTAAGGAAGTGAGTTTATCATATACTCAACGTAATTTTTACTGAAAACGGATATACCGAGCTCGAAAAGTGTATAATTTTCCTTCGTTTCTTATAAAGCACAATCGATGAACCTTGTTATCAGTGCAGCAGCTCTGTGTATATTCTGTTTGTTTAGGTAACCGTACTCATGAGGCAGACTATACATCCAAGTTTTATGGCTATGTTGAAAATACCAAACGTTGTATACTCCAAGCCACGTAGTCCTGTGTAGTCCTCAAAGGAAAAATTATATGCTAAATTGGGCTGACCTTATTTTTACTACTTCTTGACAGAATGGAGAACAGACAGAAGTACAAGTAGAAGAGGAGCACAGTGGAACAACTGATCCGAGGCAGATGGACAAGGATACAAAACAGTCACCAGTAAACATAGTGGAAGAAAGCGGTTACCTGAGGGAACGGGTGCACCAATTTTTTAAAGAGAGGTTTTTCCCTGCGACCCAGCATTTCGAAGCAACGTACAAAATTGTCTTGAAAAAGAAGGAGAATCAGGGTTTTAATTTGCAGAATTAAAGTTCGGTGAATAGAATTATAGTGATCAAAACCAAAACCGTGTGTAGGTAGAAGCAATTCATTTCCTCAATTTTCATATGTGTAACCAACACCGATGAAACATAATAATAATAATGTTAATATTAATATTAATAATAATAATATTTTGTTATAATAAAAGTATATCTGAATTACAACTGCATGCTGCAAATTGTGTGCTCTCTGTGTTATTTAGCTATTCACTAAGCTTGTCAAAATCTCTATGAGAAGCTGCACATTTGTGGGATTTTTTCCACAGAGCGACACATATGTGGAAGCCGCACCCTTTCTACTTGCTGCTGAGCAAAATGCACGCACAATTGCAAAAGAGCTGCTTTCGTATTTCACCAATTCTAATTCCATTCGATTCATTGAACTATTGACCATTTAGGCAAATCAAACTAATAAATTTCTAGGTGACTGAAATATACGATTTTCATACATTTAGCCGAAAAGATATTATGGCTAAACAGAAACTGTCGCCGCTGTTTTGATAAACAGAACAGGTTCTGTTCCTACATGCATGATTGTAGGAATCAGTATTTTCTGTTTACGTAGAAGTTACCGTATTTTTGTAAACCAAATGCCATGTCGGTCAGTGCCATCAAAAAGTGTGCAACAACAGTATTTGCGTTAAATATAATCTCAATGGGGACAACTCGCAAAGATAATAATGTTGATCTAAAGGCTCTCATCAAATTGTTGAAATAAATATAAACTTGTGGCATCCGACATTTCCAAATGATGTGCAAGCTTGGAAAAGATAACTAGCATAGACGCGGCAAATTTGTATGCCTTTAATCTGGTTGTCTTTTTCGTTGTTTACTTCATTCTAGAGGTGAGTTTTACACAGAAGGCATCATCAGCATCTCAATTAATTGAACTCCTCTGACGAACGTTTCCAAATTACACGAATTAGGCTAGCATAGCTAGAGTTGAGCCCTCTTTTGCTACTATTACCTGGAGCAATGAAGTCTCCGTGCCGAAAACACGCTTTGATCTACGACTGCAGACGTGTCTGTTGTATAGGGAGTACTGAATACGTAGAATGAAAACAACCTATGATTCAAAGGGAAGTCACTGTGCAAATGTTTACTTTCATAACTTTCGGCATTCACTGAGTACACACTGCTAAAACTTGGTTTGCAAGAGCGGCTTCTTCCGGACAGCCAGTTCAGTCCAATCAAATGTTTCTTCATTACCGTTGTTTCTGCTCCTTTTATCGTGAGTCTGCTGTGCATAAATGTTGTTGTCCTTGTTAACTGGCTGGCTTGTTGCACACTTTGGAGCGCCTAAGGTGACATGTGCAGCGATCCTATCGAGTCTGACAATCCATACAAGCAAGTGGTACATAAAACACATTCCATTCGCTTTCCTGAAGCCAATGAGACCTCAACAAGTAACATGTATAAAACGTTGCGAAAGTGCGTACTCTTACTTCGGTTTAAAAAAGCCCAAACGCTACGTTGCCAAAGTGCTATGGCAAGTTACTGTGTATTTGCGACAAATATTTCGTCATACTAGGCAAATGCTTGAAACACTGGTGTTACACTAGTACAAAACCTCTAGGTGTTCGCTGACAAGTAGACGTGTTCGGATGCCTTTCAAATCCCAGTTTATGGATGCTTCGTTTCAGCTGCCCGTTGAATAGCTATCTTTCCACATGCCATTTGGACGATCTCGTTAGAACATTTTTATTGTTTGGGCATCATTCCGTTACGGACAGCTGGGCCTTTAGCTCAGTTTATCTTGAAGACACCATTAGTCATGTTTCTCCGAAATCGCTTTACATCAAGTGAATTTGTGCCTCTGGTTTTACATGCAACCCATCCTAAGTCACTTTCGGTACTTTGAAATAACTCTGCTCTAAACCACCCGTTATCTATAGTGCTTTTTCGCCAATGTCTGACATTCTTCTCGTATTTACAAGCGTTACCACGCCCAATGAATCTGATAACAAGTCATCGTCGAGGGGACCTCTTGCTCTGCCACCCGAAATATTTTCCAGAACTTGGAATTATTGCCCAAAACCTTTGTTTGTGTCAAGGGAGGAATGGATTACGGTCCATAGAAAGCAACTACTTGAGGAATCCTGTTAAGATTCCGGAGTGAAGATTGTAAGGTATAATGCAGCGTTAGCAGATCAGGCGCGTGGTACTGGACTCGCAGCAGCTTTGCATTTGCATAAATGTAAGTATTCTTACCTCCACTTTAGAGGTGTTCGTGAGTACATTGTTTGTGCTCCACCAGTGTCGTAATGCGTTGGTCACTGGCTATACCCCGTAATGTAAATGTGTTGTTGTTTCATCAAGTCGTCTTTACGTAGTTATAAGGTTGGAAATTACTAACATACGGTGGGACGGAGTTTCACGGCTGTGACATTCGGTGGTATTAAGATTTCGTCGAGATTCTAGTCAGCTTTAGAGCGTGGTCATTAAAAGCGCTTGGGTTGCCAGGGGAGCGATTTGGCTGAGTTTCAGTTGATGGTGGCATGGGTGCTTGTGGATTTCAAGGGCAGACGCACCACTATCGCATTGCTCCACACACGCCTATGACGTTCGTTGTAAGTTGGTATGGAAGGCTGACTAAGCTTTCAACGTGCTTTTATCCTTCGTTGTGCGGTCTCGGGCATGGTAACATCTAGACTCTACCAGCGCTATGGGGTGGGGATTAAATACTGGAAGTAATACACCAGGGCTCGTCTACTGGAACTAATCTGTGAGGAAGATCCTGCTTCAGAGTTTGGTGATGTCGGTTTCATGACTGATGCAGACCTCTTGTGGTCGAAGTCAAGTACAACGCTCCAGTGGGTCCGGAGATTGTTTGTTAGACTCAGTAAAGAAGCACGGCAGTGTCACAGACTACCTGATAAAAGGCGATTTTATTAATGTTGCTATTGATTGGGATCTGCTCCATTAGATCATCATTTCGGATTCCCTTGTTGATCCTTTCCACGAAGCTATTCTCGCTTGTTACTTGCTTTAGCATGTTGCAGCGTCCACTAGAATATATCCAGGTCAGTCACCACACATCTTGGATCTTCTACTCACACCGGCATGCTCTCATGTCTTCTGTTGGACTAGGTTCCAATCGATGGACATAAGTGATTAGTGTGTAGTTTCCTTCAAGTGGACATGACGTTTCACCATGGCGTGCGGACCACAGTATCTGCGATTTGTTGCAAATAATCTAGACTGTAGCATTTTTAAGCATCTGGATCCTGAAAAGACCTGTAGTAATTTATACATAGAAATGATCTCACCCATCAATCAGTTCGTCCCAATCTCTAGCAAGAAACATTTCGCTGTAGGCCTTTATTAGACCTCCCATGAGTTAGGAACTCTCATGAAAAAACAACGAAGAGTACTGAACAGGTTCAAGTTTACACAATCAGCCTTTGACTACTCGAACTACAAGGCGGTTGGGAAATTTTCCCTACCAACGAGAAGAATGCCATGCACCACGAGATTAATGCAAAATCTGACATCCTGGCCTTGCAGTATTCCGCCAACTTTTCATCTAAGCTCCAATGACCAATGAATTTCGGTCAACGCACCCCTGTAAAGTAAAACACATAGGAATCAGTAATGGTTTAGTCGCGAAAATACTTCTTGAATTAAACGGAAATCTTCACTGGGTTTCGATGATCTCCATCCTTCGTTCCTCAAGACGGTGTCTCAGCGCATTACCGCTCCGGTTTTCCAATTTTTTGACACCCTTTATTTGAAAGACATCTCCTGAGTACATGAATATTTGGCACTTGAGACTCATATAAAATGGCCGATCAGTTCGAAATCAGTAAATCGCAAAGTAATAAAAGGAATCCTTAAACGAACATTGCGTCTTTACCTTTATATCTAAAATATCCTATCATGTTCTCACTAGGGCTTCCGGAAGTCATATCTGTCTATCACCAATCTGCTTCTTCCCAGAAAAAAATTGTCGGGATCGATGTATGCCGGTAACCAATCGGACTTGTGTTTGTTGATTGCAACAAAGTGTCTGAGAACGTCTCATACCGACGCGTCCCTATCAAAATCCGGGAAATTGGTGCCTATGCGAACATTCTCCAGCAGATTACCGACTTTCTGGTTGGTCGTACCATGCAAGTGTAACTGAATGACACTTGCACTACGCCTGTTTTTATGGTCGGTAGAGACTAACAAGGCTTTACGCCGCGTCCTGTGCGCAATGAAATCTTTAGCAACGGTCTTCCGTCAGAGCTTCACACTAATTGTCGAATATATGCTGATGACCACTAAAGATGGCTGGAGGCATCATATTTTAATGATACTGATCGAATGCAAGCAACACTAGACCTAATCACGACTGTGGTTGATGTTCCTAAAGAACCATGAACGAGCATTTTTAGGGATGGCATTAATGGCTCAAGAACCGAGCATTACAGCAATAAGTCGAGGTGGGACAAATGTCGCAGCGTACTAGAAAACAGCTGGCAAAATAAAAATAAGAAATACCGACAGTACTGTTGTCCTTTTTCCAGTACTTCAATAATGTTTGTGTTTAATTAAAGCGGGGGAAGCTCCTCGCAAATACGTATCGCAAACAAACAGTGAGAGTCGAATCGTCGAAACAGATTTTCGATATATCTAATTTGGTCAGCCCAGAAGAGAAGAGATTTTTCTCGGACGCTGGCTTTAATAAACCTCTGTGATAACCAAGAGTCTGCTGGTAAACAATTCTGTGTGATTCTGGAAATGCAATATGATTATATTGCTACATAACGGAGGCATTAGCACTCGCTCAGAGTTATCCATTTAACTCCGGTCTGTACGCTTCAAGCGATCAAGGTCGTACGTTGCTAAATCCAGAAAATTTAAAAGTGGTTATTCAAGAGATAGGATGTCCGCTTTGGTAAAAATGTGGATGATAAAATCCATGGTGCTAAGACAATGCGAGCACATCTGTTGGGTGGGCGTCGTGAGTTGTTCCGCAAGGTTGCAGTAGGTGGAATATGGTTT